GATGCATACGGATTATTACTGTCCTCTATTACTCCTTGTTCAAGTATCTTTTTTACACATTATTTTAATTCAACCCTGTGTTTTAATTCAACACTCTATAGGGTCTCTGTACTACTGGCTTATTATCACTCAACACTGTCTTGTGTTTAACTTTATTTGTACAACCACTAGAGTCATTTTCTCCTACAAATATATCTCTATACTCTTCTAATAACATTATCAAACCCTGTTTATGTTCTATATTTCCTAAGATAGGGGCCCGACATGGCCAGGTGGTTAGGGCACTCGACTCGCAATCTGAGGGTCGCGGGTTCGAATCCCCGTCCCACTAAACATGCTCGCCCTTTCAGCCATGGGGGCATTATAATGTGATGGTCAATCCCACTAATTGGTGGTAAAAGAGTAGCTCAAGAGTTGGCAGTGGATGGTGATGACTAGCTGCCTTCCCTCTAGTCTTACACTGCTAAATTAGGGACGGCTAGCACAGATAGCCCTCGTGTAGCTTTGCACGAAATTCAAAACAAACAAACCTAAGATAGAATCCCACTCTATCCTACTTTGTCATACCTGCTTCTTAGAATTATTAACATTATGTTGTCCTATTGCAGCTAATTGTTCTCTACTACTAGCCTTACCTACTACTATGTTCTTAGGTAGTAGTACTTTTTCTTTATTCACATTTAACACTTTTATAGACACCATGTCTCTCTCGGATACTTTACTAATATAAGAAGCAATATAAACTCCTGTTTCTTCTATCTCAATAGGTTCAATTAACACTTCTTCATTACACTTAAAGTCATTTACATTAGCTTCAACAATTCTTACTTCTCTGACTTTGTCGTGTATTGCTACACTCTAGGATATCAATGCTTTCGTGTTTTGACTGTTGATCCTTAGCTTTGCTAATGTTAGCATTATGCATCTGACTATTAACTTTAGCCAGCAGGAAGGTATCATGTGTCTCAACTGTTGCACATAAGTCTGAAGGTTCGAGTCCTTCAAAACTTAAGATTTCTGTTTTTATGCGTAGCTTACCCAAAGTAAGATATTTCAGTGTCATAAGTCCTTAAGAAACCTGTTTCTAAGTCTATTTGCTTACAGATGAAGAATGAATGTTCTAACTCTAACTTTGCTACTTTCATATGTACACTATATTTACCTAGTGTTTTAACAGGATGTCCTGTTATAGAAGTTAAAAGACTTCTAGAAACTTCTTTCCAAGCATTATCTAACAACATCAGGTTTTATCTACTAGTTCTGCATGTAGTAGTGAAGATCAAGTGCCTGTATCAATCAATAACCGACATATTACACCTTCTATTTTTAGTACAACTGTTGGTGATACTTCATTCTCACTATGGACACTCAATCTTTTATCCCAAACTGCTGGAACTACCTCTACTTTTACTCTGTAATCCCAGTGGGGATTATGTTTTTTGAACCTACAGTGAATGTAGGTCTTCCATTATTTTTTGGGAACTTTCCTGTGTAATATCCAGCCTTTGGGGCCTTTCTGTTTTCTGCCTTCCATGGGTATTGACAATCTCATGCCATGTGGCTTGTAATACCACAATTAAAACACACTATTTGCTCATTTCTGCTTTTGAAAGCATTCCTTGCTCTGTGTCCAACTTTGCTGGAGTTGAAACACTGGAGGCCCTTGGGCTTACTTTGTTTAGTTTGCCAATCTGCTTTGCTAGGTTTATTTACTATGTTTACAGTGGAATGTTTAGGCCCATATATATCTGTTTTTCTTGTAGCTCCTCTCGAGTAGCTACTTCAATCAGGTCAAACAAAATTGCTTGAGAGGTATTTGCTTCATTTACATAACATCTAGCTGCATTACTGTATAACCCTAATTCATATTTTAAAGTATCTTGTATCATCAACTCATTTGGGTGTGTATAAGCCGTACACAATCTATTACCTAACTCCTGCAACTTATGTCCAAAAACTCGAATAGATTTGCCTTGTTTCTGAGTTAAATTGTGCATCTCTGTTAGAATTACGTTTGTTATTTCTCACTTCTTATACTCCTCTACTAACCTACATACTAGATACTGAAAATCTGTGGTTTCACATAGTTCATTATAAACCCTAATATAGTTTTGCTTCTCCTGCTGTTTTTAATATGTCTGCCTTCTGGGCATCAGTCCAGTTCAATATTATGGTAGCTTCATTTAAGGCATCAATAAAGCTCTCGACATCCTCGTCTACTCTACCATGATATAACAGTATGGCACTCGACAAATGCATAGTGCTACATGGACCTACTTGTGCAGGTTGTTCTGCCACAGCTTCATAGTTAGTTTCTATTGACTCTAGGGCATGCACCACCCTCTTCAGTAGTCGTGTCTATACCAGCAGAAGCCATATTAATTTACTTACTACTTATTTTTAGCTTATACTACTTATAGTACTTCAGCTGACTTTCTTACTTTTCTGCTTTCTTTACTTTAACCAACCTGTCATTAGCTACTCCAAAAATCCTCGAGACTGCGCCAGCTGTAACGGGAAGCGCCCTTAGGGCTAATTATTGGAGTTTCAATTATACTGCCTGTTACACCAAATTCATTTAGTTGAGGATTGTAGTGGCGAATGGGGCTCACAAGTAGCTAACTCGAGGTAATTTACAGGTAGAATAATGAAACTGAGTAAGAGTCCTTTAGTTATTAATATAATAGTCTTTAATTATCTTTATTTCACAACACACAATCACAATAATAAACATAAGCATATAGATACCTTCTCTAGTACAACAATTCACCTATTAGCAAAAAAATCTTCAATTTATCTCATGTAATCTTTCTACTAATAATCAGTTAACACATTATAAGTCTTTCTTAAATATTACTTACTATCATTACATTGATTGAAGCTTGAGAGTCAGAAAATTCTACCTACAACATAGTTGGAGAGGTGAAGAAATCCATGACATCATCCAACAGACTTTTATTACAGGCAACTACGACAAAATTTGGATTCCTGAAATTCCTTAAAAACTGTCTATTAAGTCACTTTTTTAAAGAATTCTCAAACAATATTATTAATATAGTCAACCAATCTCACAAGTAACAAGATCAAATCCATTTATAATTTGAAAGAAGACGCTAACATTAAAATTCTAAAAGCTGATAAAGGCAACACCACTGTAATTATGAACAACTCAGAATACATCAACAAAATTAATGACATCATTTCCAATAAAAAGAAATTCAAAGCCATCCCAAACAACACAACAAACACACAAATACAAATAAACAGAACTTTATTACAAATGAAAAAAAAAAGATAATTTAATTACTGAAGTCTTTATTTTTATCTATGTAAAACTGATTCATGCACACCACAACTCTATGGCATTTGTAAACCACGACCCATACTGTCCACATATGATTCCTTCAGCTATAATCCCAGCAAATACATAGCCTGGGCTCTCACACCATATGTAACATCTGCAGGTTCATTTTTAAAAGATGTCTTCAATTTCAAATATCACTAGACCAACTAAATTCTAAAGCCTTAATGGCTAGTTTTGATGTCATGTCACTTTTCACTGAAGTCCCCACCAATGAAGTTTGCAATATTGCACTCGACCTCTACATTAATGACCACAAGAAGTTAATCCACATCCCCAGCACACTTTTTGCTTCTCTCTTAAAATGTACAACAAATAAAACCAGCTTCATTTTCAACAATGAACACTTCCTTCAAATAGATGGTTTAAGTATTGGCAATCCTGTTTCACCCATTCTTGCCAATATATT